GATGGTCACGCTGCAATCCCTTTTCCTCCATTCTCCTCCTGGGATCTTGGGCACGCACGCACAAGCACCCGGCGTGAGTTTTAAACCACCGGGTCCGGGACGCGAACCGCGGTCGACTACGTAGGAGTCCAGTGACATAGCCATTATGCTAACTGCTGGTTCCCTAGTTCTTTTATTTTTTTAATTTGCAAGTAATTCACCAATTTAAAAATAATAATAATATTGTGTCATTGGAAAAGTCATGACATATTTTTTTCTACCTTTTCCTACACAAAAATACATTATGATTTTTCCAGTAACCCAATAATAAATAAAATTAAATCATTCTAAAAAAAAATCAGCTGAAAATACATATCCTTTTATTACCCTTGGGTTACTGGGACCAGCAGATGGTGTAGTGGTTACGTCACTGGACGCCCACATGGCCGACTGCGGTTTGAGTTCTGGACCCAGCAGCTTGAAACTCATACTGGGCATGTATGCACGTGTGCCCAAAATACCAAGAGGAGACTGGAGAAGGGATTGTGGCATGGCCTTCCCCCTGGGGGGTAATTTCTCACTTTCTGTGTCTCTCTCTCTCTCTCCTGTGAACACACATGCCCTATGGCAAAAATCTCTTTTAAAACAAAAGAAAACAAAACAAAACAAAACAAAAACAAAGTCATTAATTTAGGGTTACTAATATACTGTACTTTCTGACAAGCTTAGTTTGTGCAACTTGGAGCAGAAAGCTCCACTTTCTCTTCGCATGTACATAACCATCATTTTCTAAATAGTTGTAGTCCTAAGTAAAATTCTAATAGACTCCTAAAGTTGTGCTACATTCTGCTCATGGAATGACTCAAGCAGGGAAACGTTCTCTGAGGTGTTATCAAGAGCTCATGGTTTTTTACTGTTAGCACTAACAAGCCACTTATACACACTTAAAGGGCTTTTTTAATTTTGAGAGATTTTTGGTACCGGGTCTGTGTGCTCACTGGAGACACAAAGAGAGTTAGAAACCACCCCCTCATAGGAGGGAATGGTCATGCCATAATCCATTCTCCCCCATTGTCCTCTTGGAATTTTGGGCATGCACGTACATGCGCCCAGCATGGGTTTCAAGCCACTGAACTGGGACTTGAACTGCCATCAATCAAATGGGAGTCCAGCACCTTACCCACTACATCACTTGAGGGCCCCCACTTAGAGGGCTTTTTTAACAGAGACTTTTGCTACAGGGCATGTGCACTCACTGGAGAGACAGAGATACAGAAATCAAGAGATCACCCCCCAGGGGGGATGGCCATGTCACAATCCCTTCTCCTCCATTCTCCTCCCAAGATTTTGGGCATGCACGCACGCATACCCAGCACTGAGTTTCAAGCCACCATGTCCAGGACTCGAGTCGCCGAATCAAGTTCATTTCTCCTGATAACAAGCAAATTTTGAGTGTAAAATTTAATTTTCAAGGACCAGCAGATGGTGTAATGGTTACATAGCTAGACTCCCACATGGCTGACCACGACGCGAGTCCTGGACATAGTGGCTTGAAACTCAACTGGGTGTATAGGCATGTGTGGCCAAAATCCTGAGAGGAGAATGGGGAAGGGATTGTGATGTGGCCATCTCCCCTGGAAGATGATCTCTTGCTTTCTCTTTGTCTCTGTCTCTCTGGCAAGCACACACACCCTATAGCAAAAATCTCTCAAAAAATTTTTCTGTGACCAGCAGTTGGCATAATGGCTGTCACTGGACTCCCATGTAGATGACTGTGGTTCAAATCCCAGACCTGGTGGCTTAAATTCATGCCGGGTGCATGTGCATGCGTGCCCAGGATCCCGAGAGGAGAAGAAAAGGGATTGTGACGTGGCCACCCCCGTGGGGGGGGGGTGATTTCTCGCTTTCTGTCTCTCTGCCTCTCTCTGTCTTTCTGGCGAGTGTACGTGCCCTATAGCAAAAAAAAAAAAAAAAGAAAACAATTCTTCAAAAAAATTTTTTTTCTTAATTTTCTAAAAGTATTAGGTTGTCAGAAAAGTCGTGACATATTTTTTCTGTTTTCCTATGCAAACATGCATTATGACTTTCCCAACCACCCAACAGATCAAGCACAGACATTATTAGGAGTGCTCCTTGCTTCTGCACTGCACATAAAGGGGCCTGGGCCATATAAGCACCCTCACAGGCTAAGCCGCCTCATCCACGCAGCCCCTGCCAAGTCTTCTGTACAAGTTGATTCACCAATTAAAAGCCAGGTCTGTACCTGAGTGTAGCTTGAAGACACTGTCAGCAGCTCATTGCTAATTACCAGGGCAAACATTTGTATTTCAAAGTTGACAAACAGGATAATGAGTACCTCTCAGCAGACTCTGGCCACACACTACCCGAGTACATGAGCCTTACCCACGGACTGTTAACACTTAGCACAACAAACACCACGGGCGGTGATCCCAGGAAATCTCCCTTTGCCCCTTGCAACCCACATCCATCTGGTCCCATCAGTATCAAAGATAATATTCCAGGTGTGTCGCTGCAGTGATGCTGGGATGGTGTGGCAGTGGCATGACACTCAGCAATGCCAGAGCCATATGGAAGGCTTGGCTTCCATTCCCAGGGCGACCTGTACAGGGCAGGGACGTGCACTTGCCCAAGACTCTGGGTGGCTGAGAAGGCTGGAAGAGTGGGGAGACTGTGGCAGGCAGGCCTACTTGGGGTACTTTTGTCTCTCTCTCTCTCTCTGGAAATAAACAAAACCAAACAAATTTAAATTGTAAAAAAGATATAATTTCAGACAACTCAGTCAGTCACAGTTGATCTGAAAGTTTCTTTGGCAAATGATGGGTTTCGGATACCCTAGCCAAGTTTCCTGAATTGGCAGATTCTGCAACGTCTGCACAATACATGTCACCCATAAAGCAGTTGAAGAAGTGAAACAGACCCTGGGCAAGTCCCGTGAAGGAGGGAGAAGGACTCCAAGCATGACCTACCTAGAGGCACCACACCACTAGCCCAGAGAGTCCACTCAGTCTGCTTTTTTTTTTTTTTGGAGAGGTTTTGCTCTAGGGTGCATGTGCTCGCCAGAAAGAGACAGAGAGACAGAAAGCGAGAAATCACTCCCCCAGAGGGGATGGCCATGCCGCAATCCCTTCTCCTCCATTCTCCTCTCGGGATCTTGGGCATGCACGCACACGTGCCCAGAGTGAGGTTTAAGCCACCGGGTCCAGGACACAAACTGTAGTCGACTACATGGGAGTCCAGTGACATAGCCATTACGCTAACTGCTGGTCCCTCAGTCTGCTTTGAACCTAATCCCGAAAGAGGTGATGGGAAAGGACAGGAAAATTCCAAATTATGTATGCCTTGTATCATTCTCCAGAAACCATCTACTAACAGAAAGCCAATTTGAAAACAGCTAGATGCTACTCAAATGTGAAGCTCGTGATTAGTGAAGGGAAACTACTAAAGTAAATGGCATGTTTCTTTCCCTCTATTACAAAGTGAATTTCTCATATTAATAATTTAACTAATTTTGATGAATTTTTATGTGACAGCGTGAATCAAAGTAGTTAAAACCCTAATAATGTCACAATATTTATTAACAGCAAATCCTGAATATAGAAGATCTATGAATTCCCTAATACTTCCACTTTATAAACTATCTTTAAAAAAAAAAAAAATCAAAGAAATCTTCTTTTGAAGAACCAAGTTTTAGGGCTTGGAGGAAAGCGAAAGTGATCATTATAAATTCTTTATGGATCCATTAGATATTTTAATCCATTTAAATCCAAATCCAGAAGATCAGAGTCTAATCTGACATTATTCATACCTTTTTAGAACAGCTTTTCAGTCTCAAGTTCAAGGTATCAATTGCATTAAAAATATCCACAGAAAATAACTGGCACAAGAAAACAATCATGTGATAATAGTTATATTATTTTTCTTTTCTGCATTTTTCAAATACCCTCTTGTATGGCTATATAATGTATATAATAAGAAACTCTAAGTTAAGAAAGAATTCAAGGTAATAAAATGTCATTGGCTTTACCAAATATGTCTTAAACATATGCGCAGAAAGGGGGCTGTTCAACTAAGAAAAAGATGATTCTGGATGCAGAGTGGCACTAGGGCCCAGGGAGGGGGTTTAAAAACCAAGGCTGCCCTGGCTGGAGGCAGAAAACAACAGGCCCTCCTCCCTGCAGCACCAGGAGCTCCCACCAAGCCCAGTACAAGGAACACTGGATTTCCACACGCTGATGAGCTTTGCGTGCCTGGGGAATCTCAAAACTTTCAAGTCTCTACCTGGTGAGGAGAGTGAGACACACGTGGATACCAAAATGACCAGTGAATACTGGCCTCGCCAGCAAAGCAGGCATGGTGGGTAAACAAACCACCTTGCTGGCATTTTGCAACCCCTGGGCTTGAAAAAGATAGGGAGCATTTCTTTTTCAAACTACTCATATGCTTAACTATGTCTAATTAAAAAACTATACGATAGAGTCAGCAGGTGATATGGTGGTTAAGGTGCTGGACTACCACATGGCCAACTGCGGATCAAATCCTGGACCTGGCAGCTTGAAAAATCAAGCCAGGTGCATCTGTGTGCATGTCCCAAATCCCAGGGAGAGAATGGAGAAGAGACTGCAATGTGGCCATGCCCCCTGAGGGGTGATTTCTCACTTTCCCTCTCAGTCTCTCTTAGGCAAACGCATGCACCCAATAGCAAAAAACTTAAAAAAAAAAAACAAAAACTATACTACATGCATGAGACTGTAAACAAACCTATTGGGTTGTCAGGAAAGTCATGATGCATTTTTGCATAGAAAAACTTAAGAAAATACACCATGACTTTCCCGACAACCTAATAATTCACACTGAAAGCCCACAGAGGGGACTCTCCATACCCTTGCAGGTTTTAGGGCAATATAATCAAAATCTGTATTTAAAATAGGTGTGCATCTTCTAAGATAAATTTTTTAAAACTTACGTTTTGAATGTCCTAGTGAACATTCTGAACTAGTAACTTTACCCAGAGAAAGGAGACACCCATGTTTAATGCATAGGTTATGTAAAAATGGAAACCCTCAATAAGGATTTGAGTCCATTCCTCAAGAAATCACATAATTTGTGCCCAAAGGCTGTCCACGTGCTAATGGGACTTCCTCCCTGGGACTCTAAATCACATCGTCCTCCACAATGGAGGCATTTGCCTAATCCCACAGGGTCCTTGGGATGGAGTCACAGCTGCTGGCCGGTGAAGAAGGATTTAGTCTCCCTGCAGACGGGATTTACACAGAGTGGACAACCTAGAGTCAGCTGCTTGGAGCACAGTTCGTTCGACTGGATATGGGAGAGCACCAGGTCGGCAAGGGCCTGCAAGACAGAAGCAGAAGTGAGCCATGCAGAAGTCCACCTGCTCCCAGGGACGCCCTCCTCCCACCACACCTAAGAATCTCTCTGGTCTGGGGTTTCTCTTAATGCAAGTTGTACGATACATCCTCGGGACCAAATTCTACAGAATCTTGCCTGTGAGTCTAACAGCTTCGAGAAAGTATTAATAAAAAACAGAAATCCTCTCATCCTACACACCAAATGTTTTCTCTGAAAAGCAGATTTTAAATTAAACATAGGTACAGGTAGGTAGAAATAAGAAAATTGGGACTGTCTAAAGGAAACAAAGAATGAGCAGATAAGGAATTCGATTTTATTTTTGTAATTAATTGGAACTCCAAATGTTCTAATATGTGAGAAAACCAATATTCTGCAAGAGTTTCTCAGAGGATTACTCCCTGCTATGTTCTACTAAAATGGTTGTAACACTACAGATACCTTAGAGAACAATGGATTTCCATTAAGAGACTCTGCTCTTCTGATGTTTTCAACTCCGCACTGAATCAAATGAGAAAAGGGAGGAAAAACACAGACATGTTTTATTTTATTTTTTTAAAGAAACTGCTACAAAAATAAATAAATAAATAAATACACACACACACACACACACACACACACACACACACACACACACACAGACACTCATACACAACACTCCGCACTGAATCAAATGAGAAAAGGGAGGAAAAACACAGACATGTTTTATTTTATTTTTTTAAAGAAACTGCTACAAAAATAAATAAATAAATACACACACACACACACACACACACACACACACACACACACACAGAAACTCATATACAACTCCAAGTCTGACTTCAAGTGTCCACAGTCAGCTTGTTAGTGAAAAGCAGGCCCAGGGCTGGGCACGCATGCGTGTCGATGCTGTCACTATGATACACTCTTCAGGGGCCAGGTGGTGACACAACAGTAAAACAGATTTCTACAAGTCTGACCCACACTGGAGGTTCCAGAGTCATACCTGGAGAGCATAACGGACATACCTGAGCGTAACGGACACACACGTGTGCTTATGATCTGGGGCTGGCTGAAGCTGGGGGTGGATCATGGCAGCAAGAACCTGTCAGGCATGCTGTCTCTCTCACTCGGTCTCTCTTATTCATTGAAGAAATGGATAAATGGGCTTTTTTCTTTCTTTCTTTCTTTTTTTTTTTTTAGGTTTTTGCCACAGGGTGCGTGTGTGAGATGGACAGAGAGAAAATGAGAAATTACGCCCCAGGGGGATGGCCACACTGCAATCTCTTCTCCTCTATTCTCGGGCTTTTGGGCATACACACAACACACCCAGTGTGATTTTCAAGCCACCAGGTCTAGGGCTAGAACTGCACTTGACTGTGTGGGAGTCTACTGCCCTAGCCACTATGCCCCCTGCTGGCCCTGGTAAATAGACTTTTTAAAAAAATACCCTTTCTGGGGCGGGCAGGTGGCGTAGTGGTTAGGGACACTGGACTACCACGACTGCTGCAGTTCAAGCCCTGGACCTGGCGGCTTGCTTTCTCACTTTCCCTTTTTCTCTCTCTCTCACTCTGTCCCTCTCTGCCAAATTAAAAATAAATAAATAAAGGGAACCAGCAGTTAGCGTAATGGCTATGTCGCTGGACTCCCACATTGTCGACCGCGGTTCACGTCCCAGACCCGGTGGCTTAAAACTCACGCCGGGCGTGTGTGCGTGTGTGCCCAAGATCCCGAGAGGAGAATGGAGGAGAAGGGATTGCGGCGTGACCATCCCCCATGGGGGGTGATTTCTCACTTTCTGTCTCTATGTCTCTCTCTGTCTGGTGAGCGCACGCACCCTATAGTGAAAAACCTCTCAAAATAAATAAATAAATAAATAAAGTTAAATAAAAGTAATTCTTAAAAAAAATATCCTTTCTGGGACCAGCAGTTAGCGTAATGGCTATGTCGATGGACTCCCACGTAGTCAACCGCGGTTCGTGTCCCGGACCCGGCAGCTTAAAACTCTCGCTGGGTGAGTGTGTGCATGCCCAAGATCCCGAGAGGAGAATGGAGGAGAAGGGATTGCGGCATGGCCATCCCCCCTGGGGGGTGATTTCTCGCTTTCTGTCTCTACGTCTCTCTCTGTCTGGTGAGCACACACGCCCTATAGCAAAAAAAAAAAAAAAGAAAGAAAGAAAGAAAAAAAAAAACTCTTAAAAATTATCCTTTCTAAAAATAAACAAACAATAAATTGCTCTTCAATTTCTATGTCCTCCCCACCTCCATTAACGTTTTCAGATGGTTTGTTTACAAACCATTTTTAAAGTTACACTTGCTGGAATTCTCGAGCAATTTTAATTTCCTTACTACTCTTCTTTTTTGCTTCTACTTTTCCAATGCGTATTTTCACAGGCACTACCTAAGCAGAATATTGTTTTCATTAAGAAAATGTTTGTGTGCTTGTTTCTCTCCCAAGTGTCAAAGTGAAATACAGTAATCTTGGACAATAAAATGTATATTGGACTTGGATTCAATTCAGAGTAGGGTTTTTAAACACATTCTTACAGAGAAAAAGCTAAAGAAATATTGTTTTTGAGGGTTGTTTTAATGCCGACCCTGCTCCCCTCTCTGAAACTAACTGGTTTATTATCCCCAATATCAGAGAACGCTACTGATTTAGTCAGGGAGTCAGGATCTTCTTCCCCTTTCCTGTGATAGCACTGAGTTGCTCTCTCTTTTAAGCTGGCATTAATCTCAGGAGACATGGGGAAATGGCATGGGAAAAATGCTGAGATTCAACCAATGCGTAGTTCTCACCATGCTCAGAGGCTGTGGTTTAAAACATCACGTAAAAGTCAGTAACGGGAGCCGGCAAGTGGCATGGTGGTTAAGAGGGCTGGACTCCCATGTGGCTGACCATGGTTCAAGTCCTGAATCTGATGGCTTGATTTCTCCCTTTCTCTCTCTCTTTGTCCTTCTCTGGTCAAATTAAAATAAATAAATAAATAAATAAATAAATAAGTAAGTAAAAGTCAAATAAAATAATTCTAAAAATAATAATAATAATAAAAGTCGGGACCAGCAGTTAGCGTAATGGCTATGTTGCTGGACTCCCATGTAGTCGACCATGGTTTGAGTCCCGGACCCAGTGGCTTAAACTCACACTGGGCAAGTGTGCGTGCGTGCCCAGGATTCCAAGAGGAGAATGGATTGCGGTGTGGCCATCCCCCCTGGGGGATGATTTCTCACTTTCTGTATATCTCTGTCTTTCTGGTGAGCGCATGCACCCTATAGGAAAAACCTCTCCAAAAAAAAAAAAAAAGAAAAGAAAAGGCAGTAACAGAGGCCAGCAGATGGCGTGGTAGTTAATATGCTGGATTTCCACACAGCCAACCATGGTTGGAGTCCTGGACCTGGCAGCTTGAAAATCACGCTGGAAACATGTGCATGAGTGCCCAAAATCCCAGGAGGAGAATAGAGAAGGGACTGCAGTGTGGCTATCCCCACTGGAGGGGGATTTCTCATTTTCCCTCTTTCTGTCTCATTCTGTCTCTCTCTGGTGAGCGCATGCACCCTATGGTAAAAACTCAAAAAAAAAAAAAAAATTTATTGGTAACAACGGAATAACCATTGTTGTCAAAAGGCACTCCCTCATGAGAGACTGAATGGGTACATATTTGGAGCGCAATCCGGGAAGAAAGATATCAACACTGCAAGTCTACTTCAAGGAATTTGTCCTAAAGAAAAATTTTAGAAAGTGGAACAGAAACATCTTAAATATCTGAAATGTATGCTAATCGGGGTAAAAAGAATGATATATGAAAGGATTTCAAAAATATCATGGAAAAATGGAATTAAAATACAAGTTTATTTTGGTGCAAAACATTTTTTAAATCCTCGGATAGCTTTTCCATAATATTCATTTCTCCACAAACTTTATGAAGACCTTTTATAAATCGAATCATATTTCCTGATCTGGATCCATATAGTTTTAAGAAAGAAAAACAGATTACAAAACAGCATGAATAAAATATCATTCTTCTTCAATGCATAGAATACCATTTTAGTTCAAATACACATTTAGAAGAAAAGGGGGACTATTTTTATCATCAACAGATGTTCTCTTCTGAGGGATAAGATTATAACCACATTCTATTATCTAAGCTATACTTCTCTAAACTGTCTGAGATATTTATTTATCATCAAAAAGCAATAACCTTGGGACCAGCAGTTAGCTAATGGCTATGTCGCTGGACTCCCATGTAGTCGACTGCAGTTCGTGTCCCGGACCCGGTGGCTTAAAACTCACGCAGGGCACATGTGTGTGCATGCCCAAGATCCCGAGAGGAGAATGGAGGAGAAGGGATTGTGGTGTGGCCATCCCCCCGGGGGGTGATTTCTCGCTTTCTGTCGCTCTGTCTGTCTGGTGAACGCATGCGCCCTATAGCAAAAACCTCTTAAAAAATAAATAAATAAATAACCTTGGCCCAGCTGGCATGGATGATTAGGTGCCACTCTGCAATGCTGGAGCCACATGGGAGACCACTCTCTGGATCTCAGGTCAACCTGAGACATACAAGGTACACATGCATGCCCACAGGGCCGGCAGGTGGCATGGTAGTTAAGGCTCTAAACTCCCACATGGCTGGCAGCAGTTCAAGTCCCAGACCTGGCAGATTTCTCACTTTCTCTCTGTCTCTGGTGAACACACAAGCCCTATAGCAAATTAAAAAGTAATAACAATAAATAAGGAACTGGTAGGTAGGTGGCATGGTGGTTAAGGGCACTGGACTCCCACATGGCTGACTATGGTTTGAGTCCTAGACCTGGCAGCTCTCTCTCTCTCTCTCTTTCTCTCTCTCTCTCTCTGTCCCTCTCTGGTCAAATTAAAATAAATAAATAAAATTAAATAACAATTTAAAAATAAATAAATAAAATTAAATAAATAATCCTAAAAGGAAAAAAAAAGTATGCTCAGGATTACAGCTGGCCAGAAGGCTGGGACCAGGGTATGTATGAAACTGTCAAGGGTGCCTGTTTTTCTCTCATACAAGAAATAAAATAAATAAATATAAAAAAGCAATAAAGTTACTTCTATTTTTGGAGAAAAAAATTCAAGCAAATTTTTAAAGTTCATTAATTATTTTAAATGTACAATATTCGCCCATCAAAATAATATAACAAATTGTTGCCATGCGGTTTTCTTTATACCCTATATAGACTCATTTAGTAATAATTTATTAATTCACTTGATTACTAAATAAAACTTCAGTTTAGTAATATTAATGTATGTGAATTGTCATTCAACACAGATCAAAGCTCGTTTTCCAAACACACTGGTATCAACCATGTTTTCACTGAAGTTTTTTTATCAAGTTCACAGTTAGTCGAATTCATGGGCATTTAGTGAGGCTACAAGGGCATCGTGCCCAACGCCGGGCCTCATGTTCACCAATTATAATCTACCCGTGAGTCCTGCATCGGAACCGACAGGAACTTGGGCAACCCCGACTTCATCGACTTCATAGATGTTTGACTGATGACCTGCGCGTGTGCACAATAAAACCAGGGGGCAGGTGCTGGTTCCAGTTCCAGACTCTCCCACTCTCCATCCTGTCCCACACCTGCCGCCCAGCTCCAGAGAGAGGGGAGTATCTTGCAAGGCCAGGCTTCCATCACTGTCACCTGGGATGACCAGAGCCTGGAGTTCTGGTAGAACATGAGGGGGACAAAGGACTTCTGGGGCCCAGAGCTACCACAGAACAATGCTAAAAATCAGACACGGGTTTCAGGGTGGCCCTCAGAAACCAGGAGACAGGTGAACAATAGTTTTCCTCCGCCCTGAATGACAGTCACATCCATCTTACAGTCCAAGACACCGAGGATGGTATTTGTTATTTCAATAATCAGATTGATCACAGCACGGCAGCTAACAGCTAATTAAGTGAGTGCATAAGAGGTCAAGTTCCAAGTTTATTCCACACTCCTCTCTTAAATGCCTTGGAACCCACAAGAAGCAGTGCAGGACACTATCAGGTACAGAAAAGGAATTATAAACAATAAAATTATTTTCCTCAGGAATGGAGACAAGAATGATTCTTTTTTTTTTTTTCCTGAGAGAGATTTTTTGCTATAAGGCATGCGTGCTCACCAAGTAGACAGACAGATCGCTGGTAAATGCTATCAGAACCAAGAGGATATTCTTTCTGCCCCTCTCACAAAGCCCTCTGAAGCTCTCATCTGTTGGAGGACCCAACCAGGGCACTGGACTAACTTATCAGAAAGCGAGAAACCACCCCCCCAGGGGGGATGGCCACGCCGCAATCCCTTCTCCTCCATTCTCCTCACAGGATTTTGGGTAAGTGCACACACACGTGCACCTGACATGAGGTTTAAGCCACTGGGCCTGGGACTTGAACTGCAGTCCACTACATGAGAATCCAGCGACACAACCATTATGTCATCTGCTGGTCCTGTAATTCTTTTTTCTTAAATAAATGTACTTATTTCTTTCAACTAGTCTAATAACTTAAACCAAGCAAACCGATGCTGGCCAAAGCGATTTCCGGGCTACCAGGTTTAAAAGGAATGCCCTGTCCCACGGCTGACAGGGAATGAGCTGGATATGCTGGGATCGTCCCTCAGACAAAGCATTGCTCGGAAGAGTCAGGACACAGTGCGTACAACTATACAGGGCCCTGACGTTTTTGAATAATACAATTAAACAGTTTCTGGGAAAGTTTCCTTTTAAAACAAACCACAATGGGATGGATAAACCAGAGGGGAGCGTTTACCTCATTGGCTAATACTTGCGAGTACTCAATATCCAGTTCGTACAGCGTTTCAATGTGATCGCTGGTAAACGCAATCGGAACCAAGAGAATATTCTTCCTGCCCCTCTCACAAAGCCCTTTGATGCTCTCATCTGTTGGAGGACCCAACCAGGGCATTGGACCAACCTACCAGGAAGGAAGATGAATGCGTGTAAGTCAACCACTTCTCCCGACTTGTCCATAGCACCCGACACCAGCCGCCCACCGCCCTCGCCCCCACCCCGAGACACATGCCTGCCCACTAGGGGCAAGAGCCCTCTTTACAACTGCTTCAATGGAATTTTGTTTGTTTGTTTGTTTTTGAGAGAGATTTTTGCTACAGGGCATGTGCGCTCACCAGAGAGAGAGAAACAGAAAGCGAGAAATCACCCCATGGGGGGAGATGGCCATGCCGCAATCCCTTCACCTCCATTCTCTTCTCAGGATTTTGGGCATTCATGCACACATGCCTGGCATGAGTTTTAAGCTACCGGGTCAGCGACTTGAACCACGGTCAACTAAAGGGAGTCCAGTGATGTAACATTACGCCATCTGCTGGTCCCGGATAGGTTTTGGTATTTCCACATCAAGGCTTGAATCCTAGAGATTGGCCCAATACAAATAAATAACTGTCTCTGTCATTATAACTAAAAATAAAATAAATAAAATATTAAACCAATGGAACTCAACTAATCACTTCCCCTTCTATTTTACTTGCTTGCAAAGTTCTCTCTGGCCATTGTGAGCAGGTTACAAAACAGCCTGTTTACATGAAAGAGCCACATTTAATCATCTTATAACGAAGTCCTAAAATAGACATTCTCAGAATAGCGGACTGCCACCGACGTGGGGCAGTCACCTACCTTGGACTGCCACACCAGTCGGTAGGGATTGGAGTAACCCAGTCTTTCCATGACTCTCTGGACAGTGGCGCTCACCTCCTGTGGATAGGGGTCCCCTCTGTTGACCACCTGCAGCAGAGACACAAGGGGCGTTAAGACACCAACACAAGAAGTGCTCCGAGATCCCCTGACTGCAGTGAGAGGGTGTGAGCCCCTGAGCAGAGTCCTCCTTTCTGTATCCTGCACTAAGGACCATACGGTCTGGGCTCAGTCGCCAAAACTCCTTGCTTCCGCTGCTTCATCAGCCAAAGGAGAATACTGCACTCACTCACCTCTAACGTCCCCAAGAAGATATAAAATTCTGCTTTCTTGGGGCAGCAGGTGGCATGGTGGTTAAAGGTGCTGGATTCCCACATGACTGACTGTGGTTCAAGTCCTGGACCTGGTGGCTTGCTTTCTCACTTTTCCTCTCTCTCTCTCGTCAATTTTTTTTAAAGAATTATTTTTAAATTAACTTTATTTATTTATTCATCCATTTTAATTTGACCAGAGATGGACGGGGGGAGGAGGGGGTAGTGAGAAAGCAAACTGCTAGGTCGGGGACTTAAACCACAGTCAGTCATGTGGGAGTCCTGCGCCCTTAACCACCACACCACCTGCTGGCCCCCTCTCACTGGTCAACTTTAAATAATAATAATAACAATAATAATAATAATAATAAGTGAAATTTAATAAATAAATAAGTCTTTTAAAAACAAATTAATTCTGCTTTTTTAATTTTCTAGAGGGCACATGTGCTCACCGAACAGAAAGAGAAGCAAAGTGAGAGAGCGCCCCCATGGGGTGGATAGTCACACCACAATCTCTTCTGCATCTCTCCTTTCAGGATTTTGAGCATGCACATGTGCCTGGGGTGTTTATGAAGCCACTGGGTCTGGAACTTGGATCCTTGCAGTTGGCCATGTGGGATCCAGCCACCGTAACCACCACAGGACCAGTGGCCTGAAGATGTCAAAGTCTATGTCCCATGTTACTCACAGAAAACTGACAATGTCTAACTGTGGAGGAAAGCGTTCTTCTCCCTCCCATTCCCCACCTGAAATAGGCAAGAGACACAGAAATCTGGGCAGGAAGAGTCAACACAGTACGGGAATCTTGACCCAGGAAGTCACATGAGTGGTTAATTTTAAAACAAAAATAGAGGTGGCATGGTAGTTAAGGGTGCTGGACTCCCACGTGGCTGACCATGGTTCGAGTCCTGGACCTGGCAGCTTGCTTTCTCACTTTCCCTCTCAAACTCTCTCTCACTCTGTCCCTCTCTGGTCAAATTTAAATAAATAATTAAATAATTCTTTAAAAAAAAAAAACAGAAATAAAAGAGTGCTTTATGGGCAATCTATGCCACAAAATAACCATCATTCTACAAAATAACTTTTCAAAAATATCAAGGAGATAAAAAACAAGGAAAATCTGAGGAGAGACCCTAAGCTGCACACATCGGGAGACATGACTAAATGCAGTGTGGGAGCCAGGGCTGGACTCTGGAACGGACAAAGGACCACTGCGAAAGCTGGGTGCCATCCAAAGAGAGCCTGGAGTCTGGCTAACAGCACCGCACCAAGGCTAATTTCTGCACTGATCACCACCACAGCTGATCACCCCCACAGCCAGCGTTAGCGGAGGCTGGATGAAGGATATAGAGGAACGCTCTATATTCTGTGAGGCATTTTTCTGTAAGCCTAAAAATTATTTCAAAAGAGAAAGTGTGAGGCCCAGCCTTAGCAGTGTAGGCGGAGGCATACTGGACTACAGTGCTGGAAGCCACATGACAGACCAAGGGTTCATATCCCAAGCCAACCTGAAACACATCGAGCTCCTGCACCCAAGGTCCCGACTAGCCAGAAAGCTGGGGGGAGGGGGCTGTAGTGTGGTAAGCCCCTACTGAGGGTGTCTGTCCCCCTACCCCCTACATACACACAAACACTTTCTCTCAGGAATAAAATAATTTTTTTATAAAGGGAGAAAGTTCCAAGATGCAAATGCAGGAAAAAAGAAGAGTTAGCATGATCAGAAACTGCTAGGTCGGGGACTTAACCCACAGTCAGTCATGTGGGAGTCCTGCGCCCTTAACCACCACACCACCTGCTGGCCCCCTCTCACTGGTCAACTTTAAATAATAATAATAACAATAATAATAATAATAATAAGTGAAATTTAATAAATAAATAAGTCTTTTAAAAACAAATTAATTCTGCTTTTTTAATTTTCTAGAGGGCACATGTGCTCACCGAACAGAAAGAGAAGCAAAGTGAGAGAGCGCCCCCATGGGGTGGATAGTCACACCACAATCTCTTCTGCATCTCTCCTTTCAGGATTTTGAGCATGCACATGTGCCTGGGGTGTTTATGAAGCCACTGGGTCTGGAACTTGGATCCTTGCAGTTGGCCATGTGGGATCCAGCCACCGTAACCACCACAGGACCAGTGGCCTGAAGATGTCAAAGTCTATGTCCCATGTTACTCACAGAAAACTGACAATGTCTAACTGTGGAGGAAAGCGTTCTTCTCCCTCCCATTCCCCACCTGAAATAGGCAAGAGACACAGAAATCTGGGCAGGAAGAGTCAACACAGTACGGGAATCTTGACCCAGGAAGTCACATGAGTGGTTAATTTTAAAACAAAAATAGAGGTGGCATGGTAGTTAAGGGTGCTGGACTCCCACGTGGCTGACCATGGTTCGAGTCCTGGACCTGGCAGCTTGCTTTCTCACTTTCCCTCTCAAACTCTCTCTCACTCTGTCCCTCTCTGGTCAAATTTAAATAAATAATTAAATAATTCTTTAAAAAAAAAACAGAAATAAAAGAGTGCTTTATGGGCAATCTATGCCACAAAATAACCATCATTCTACAAAATAACTTTTCAAAAATATCAAGGAGATAAAAAACAAGGAAAATCTGAGGAGAGACCCTAAGCTGCACACATCGGGAGACATGACTAAATGCAGTGTGGGAGCCAGGGCTGGACTCTGGAACGGACAAAGGACCACTGCGAAAGCTGGGTGCCATCCAAAGAGAGCCTGGAGTCTGGCTAACAGCACCGCACCAAGGCTAATTTCTGCACTGATCACCACCACAGCCAGCGTTAGCGGAGGCTGGATGAAGGATATAGAGGAACGCTCTATATTCTTTTAGGCATTTTTCTGTAAGCCTAAAAATTATTTCAAAAGAGAAAGTGTTAGGCCCAGCCTTAGCAGTGTAGGCGGAGGCATACTGGACTACAGTGCTGGAAGCCACATGACAGACCAAGGGTTCATATCCCAAGCCAACCTGAAACACATCGAGCTCCTGCACCCAAGGTCCCGACTAGCCAGAAAGCTGGGGGGAGGGGGCTGTAGTGTGGTAAGCCCCTACTGAGGGTGTCTGTCCCCCTACCCCCTACATACACACAAACACTTTCTCTCAGGAATAAAATAATTTTTTTATAAAGGGAGAAAGTTCCAAGATGCAAATGCAGGAAAAAAGAAGAGTTAGCATGATCAGTTTTCTTTCTCGACAATCCCACTTCTTCCCTTCCCCTGCCTCATCCTCACGACCTCGCAGCTTTCCTCAGGACCACATGGTCCCCGTGGGCAGCAAAAACCTGGAGGCAGCATGCCCTGTCCCTGAAGGAAAGAAAAGAACGTGAGGCTGAGAGGAGGCAAGGCAGCACCTGGAACCGTTCAAGGATAAAAATGTGCTTCCTCCTGTCCCCGCTCAACAGCTTCCCTTCTGGCACTTCACACATGGTCCCATCCTTCACAGGAAGAGGGCAGGGCAGGAGGATGGATGTAAGAAGAGGATTTGCATAATAGCAGAAAAGAAAGTAGGAACTACTAAAATAAAACAGGCTGACTTCCAGAAGAGAGAAATTTATCTCCAGAGCCACCTACTGCCCACATTAGGATGACCTGGTTGAGACGTAGGAGCCAAAAAGCTGCAAAGGGCTTGACCCTGACGGCCACCAGGTGGCGGTAAGGACCAGTTAGAAGATGATCCTGAACTCCATTAACCTTGGAGTTCAAATCTTACAAAGCTTAAGAAAATGGAATTGTCCCCTTTCCGGTTTGGGAAGCAGTGTTTTCAGGACACAACACTAGTTCTGAGCTGATGAAACTGCTTACTTATTCCCCGTATCTACCATGCAGCCTCAAAACGTAACAGCCATGGCACAGACTGCAGTATTTCAATGAACCTCCTAGGATAATATGGCAAACTAAGGCACAACCAGATCACAAACCGATATGCCCTTACTTGGCAAAATGGGGTCCCAAACCTTCGCGAACTGAAACTGTAATTGCTTCCTGGATTCCAAGCAGCCTTTGTCAAGTCTTGAGGACAAAAGATTGAGACTGATGGAACAGCAAATTGCATAGTGGTTACATAGCTGGATTCCCACATGGCTGACCATGGTTTGAGTCCCAGATCTAGTGGTTTGAAAATTATGCCGGGTGCATATGTGTGTGCACCCAAAATTCTGGGGGGAGAATGAAATAGAAGGGATTATGACATGGCCATCCCCACTGGGGAATGATTTCTCACTTTACCTCTCGCTGCCTCCGTGTCTCTCTCCCTAGTGAATACACACATCCTAAGACAAAAACCTCTTTAAAAAAATTTTTAAAAAGACGGGGACTAAGCGCACTGTTCTGAATGAAGGCTGTACAACTGAACACACTGAAATGTCAGGCCCAGGTCCGGAAACAGTCAAATGGTTTTCTTTTAACTGTCCCACTATTACTAGTCTTTTTTTTTTTTCTTAAAGGATTATTGTATTTCATTTTATTCAACATTATTCTATAAATGTGATCAGCGAGAGAGAGAGAGAGAAAGAGAAAAAGCATGCCATCAGGTTCAGGACTCAAACTGTGGTCAGCCATGTGGGGGTCCAGCTGCACCATGCTACCTGCAGACCCTCAGAGATTCTTATTCTATATCTTTAAGTTATCATTTAAAGATAGTTATTAAGAAAAGATCTGTTGGGGCCAGCTGGTGGTTAAGATGCTGGACTCCTACATGGCCGACCACAGTGTGAGTCCCAGACCTGGTGGCTTGCTTTCTCAATTTCCCTCTGTTTCTCTCTCTCTGATGAGTGTACATCCCTATAGCAAATTAAATAACAGTAAATAAAATAAAGGAAATAATTCTTTTTTTAAAAAAATAAAGGATCTGTTTACAAAACTATCATTTTTAAGAGTTTTTGCTGTTTTTTGTGTGTGTGGTTTTTTTTTTTTTTTTTGGTTATAGGGCGCATGCACTGGAGAGACAGAAACAGAAGGTGAGAAATATCCCCCCAGAGGGGTGGCCATGCCACAATACCCCCTCATCCACTCTCCTCTCATGATTTTGGGCACACATCCACACGTGCCCAGTCTGAGTTTAAGCCGCCGGGTCTGGGACTCAAACTGCAGTTGACTACGTGGGAATCCAGTGACATAACCATTATACCATCAGCTGGTCCCTACAAAACTGTAATTTGAATCAGTTGTTACAAGGTTTTAAGATGTGAGCCAGATCTGTTCCCACTAAGTTAAGTGTGGGATTTGAGTTCATTCTTACACTGGGCTTAGGACAGACTGGAAGCAGGGTCTATGTTACACATAGAAGGCGGAACCACCCGTCTCCTACCACTTGGCCATCCAGCAAAACCTACTTACAGCCATGGGCAGCGAGTGTGCAGAAAACAGAATGACCACGTCGCCTCTCTTCTCTGGTGGAAAACGGTCCAGTTCTTTCAGAATGTGATCTGCAAAGCACTGAGGGAAAATCAAAACAGGAGGACAACGAAGTGGGAAAGCAAACAAACAGAAGAAAAAGAAAAAAAAAAATTTAAATGTCAGCTATGCCAGAAATCTTAGAGCAACCCTCAGAAATCAGAACTCTCTTTTTAAAAAAATTGCAAACAGTACAGTCTCTTTGCTTTGGTTCATCATCAAAATGGATCCTCGCGGTTTCAGGGGCCTAGGGAATTTGATGGGAAACTTCTAAAGCTTGCTAATGGCTCACTGCGAATGAATGCTGCTTCCCCTCGGGAAGAGCAGGGCACATTTCCAGATGGAAAGGAAACACAGATGGGAAGGAGACGTCGTTGTAAGACCTCTCATTTGCTCCGTTAGCAGGAAAACAGCTTACAGGGTCTTTCTAAATCTTCTTTAGTTTGGCTTTCAGGCATATCACATTAAAATACATTAGCCAGAAATAGTAGAGGGAGAAGAAAATACTCTTCTATTTTTACAGTATTTTTATTCTGAACCCAGTATCCTCACCACGTCAATCTTCGTAACAGCGGATGACAGGCTGTGCACGCCCATTAAATGTACGGGTGGGAGGGACACATGTGGACCCCGGGCCATTCGATCACACGTGTGCAGCTCAAGCGAGGACACGGCCCCACCTCCACCTCCACACCTCTGTCCACCAGACCAGCCACCGCCCCTCACTTTCCAATTCCTGTTGATAGGTGCTGAAACACCAGATCTGAAGAGGCGTTCTTTCATCTTACCCTTTCATCATTCTTTGTCATTAAATGTGTAAAGGAAATCCAACAAAGGGCATTATGGGCCAACTGGTAAAATTAGAATACGAACATTAATTAGATGAAAGGAAGTACTACTGATGCCGAGTTTACTGAAGCTGAAGGTTGGACTGTGGGTACATAAGAGAATACCCTTGATCTTAGGAAACGCATGTGCGAGTAATTACAGTGGGTGGCGATGTGTGTGCGTGTACATATACACATATATGTACGCATGTAGATGCGTGACTCTCCAGTAGTTCAGAGAAACATTAGGTATGTACGGACACATACTTATCCATACATACACCCAGAACACGCCATGATAAAGTAACTGTGGTGAATGTTAATACCGTGTGAACGTAGATAAAGAGTTGATGAAGGTTCCTTATACTATTCTTATAACCTTTCTGCAGGTCTAAAATTTTCCCAGAAAATATTTTTTTTTTAATTAAAAAGGACAATTTACCATCGCTATGTAAATGTACATTTGTGGGTATTTTAATATATCAGTGGTCAGTACTACAGGATAAGTCAACTATTCCCTAATAAATTCTGATATATTATGTCGTCGGGAAAGTCGTGACGTATTTTCTATCTTTTTCTATACAGAAATATGTCATGACTTTCCTGACAACCCAACATTATTCCTCTTTCCAGAATTCTCCATGTGCGGTAAATGAATGCCCCAAATCATAAAATGGTGCCTAGAATGAAGCTGCTTTTTCAGAATGCATAACAAGTACAAACAAGAACAATATTTTCTGGTGCCCTTTGCACTGTTTGGAATCAAGGCTGCGTAGAAAGGATTATTTCTAGACATTAGCCTAGGTAAGGAGGCCCAGGATACAGTTCGCACAGGAGCCTAGAGCATAAATTCACCACAACAGCTACTATCATGAAAATATTAAACATAACCGTTTAATCGAATGGCAATTTTAAGTAAGTTTTGAGTAAATTGACTTTTACACCTTATAACTTATTTCTGCTTGTTATAATTTAGAACGAGTAGCCATATGAACTAAAATCGGTATTTTTCGTTTTTAACTATATTTTTGTCTTATTTTTTTCATTTCTAACAGATTTTAACTCTGATTCAGAGTGTAGTGTTTTCCTTCTTCTCAGCTTGCAGAATCGCATGTAAAAACACAATGTGTTACTGCTTGCGCCGGTCTGTAAGCGATCTTCAAAACTGAGGCGCTGTGGGCAAGAGGTGCTCCTTAGACCACCTTCAGCCCATCTGCGGCAGCGGTCGCGAGGCACAACCGAGCTGCAAAATGAAAGCGGCGCCCGCTCTCAGAGCCTTCAATCACGGTCTAGGAGGGTACATAAATACCTCTGAAATTCCCTTTCATTTCATCAACAGAGACTTCCTCAGTTAAGAGACCTTTCCGTCTTTCTGTTTCCCCCTTTTCAAAGGGCTGAATTTTAATGCAAATCTAATTACTCCCTCCATCGGGGCAGGCAGATGCTGTGCAGATCCCTCCCCTACCCGCCACCACGTCTGTGCAGACCTGAAACACCCCTGGTTTCCAAGAGCAGACCTCCCCCAGCAAAGCAATCAGGGTACCCTGGCGCTTCGGCAGGGCAGGCTGGGCCTGGCAGTACAGCAACCAGGACACCTCCCCACCTATCCCCCAGGGTGGGCTCCTCCTTTGCACTTTTTACTTGAAACTAGATTTCAACTCAGCCATTAACCCCTTCCACGCCTACGTCGTATTCTTGGAGAGAGCGGCCCTGATTTCAATGATGTCTAGCACCATCTAGTGGTTACAGGTCTTAAGTGAGACCAGGTTTTTAAAGAAGCTGTAAATGGAGGATTTGGCTAACACACACAGAGAATGTTTAAGGCCTGAAAACTAGACTGCATAAAATCGGAATCACTTAACCATTTCTCCCATTTAAAATAACCCAGAATCAGAAACTCCCATTGACCAAACAAAACTATATTTGTATGATTTAGGGCAATATTTTACCAATTATACTCTCATTTGAAAGACAAAAAAAAAAATGAACGCTCATTCAACGCTATTGGGATAGTAGCTTAGCTTATTTTCCTGATACTAAGCATTCATTAGTATAAACATTTTAAAATCAGTTGTAGAGCTCATGAAATTTCTTTTAATCTATGAAACTCTCACAGTTGAAATATCGAAGTTCTTTTCCTATCTCAGAACATGTAGATATATTACCTTTAATTCCTTGAACATTTGAAAGGACTTAGAAAACAGAGGGCTTAGTTTATTCAATAGTCATTCAACCTATCAATCTATGGAATACCAGCCACCATCTTAAACACTCTTCTGGCCAAAGATGAAATTGTGTTACGGTTTGGGACTAACAGAATTAATCTGAAGAAAGAGTCTAATCATTCTCATGTTTAAAATGTCTTTTCTCTTTGCATAAAATCAATAAATCAAGAATCTAGTATACTTTGTAAATCCCCAGCATATATGTAACCAAAAGAACAGGAAGGCTCAGGGGGACACCTGCAAACCCACCAGCGACAAGACCGTGACCCCTTCAGCAGTGACAGGGCTGCTGGAGGTTGCTGGCTTACCTGGATGAGGAGGGGATGCGTGGGCCACCTGTCAATAGTGCTCCACTTCATCGTGGGCTTCTTCCCTACTCCACGGTAGTATCTATAAATGGCATTTAAGCTGCTGCCTGAAATACAGGGGCCACTTAGCAGGTGTATTCTGATTATGGTAACAAAAAACAGACTAGTCAAGGCAGTAATTGTAAGTTCAAAGTAAGTAACCGCTTCTACCCTGAACCAGTCTAATTACAATCATTTCAATACTTTAAAATGCATATAGATTTAACTAGCCTGCAAATGATCACTAAGAAGCAATCAATTCCAACAGACTTTCAAAGATTATTCGGGCCATTTCTAGTGAGAAGCATGATGGCTATGGATTTCTGAAACATAAGCAGTCATTACTTGTAGGGACCAAGTATTATAATTGAAAGCATGTCACTTTTTTTTTTCTAGTTATAAAGGTAATCAACCTCATTGCAGGAAATACAGGGGGTAGAGAAGAAGGAAAAAGAACTGGCCATGATCCTGGAATGCTGTAATAATTTGGTCTTAGACTAGCACAGTTTTCAGGTTTTTTCTTTATAGCTGTTTGTTTTACAAAGTTGCAATTTTAGAATATACACAGTGTATCTGGGGCATCTTAATATTTTGAGATAGGGACCTGCAGTTAGCGTAATGGCTATGTTGCTGGGCTCCCACGTAGCCGACCGCAGTTTGCGTCCCGGACGGAGTGGCTTAAAACTCACGCAGGGCGCATGTGCGTGCGTGCCCAAGATCCCGAGAGAAGAATGGAGAAGGGATTGTGGCGTGACCATCCCCCCGGGGGGTGATTTCTCGCTTTCTGTCTCTTTGTCTCTCTCTGTCTGGCAAGCGCACGTGCCCTATAGCAAAAACCTCTTCAAAAAAAAATATTTTGAGATAAATATGTTCCATGTTACAATAAAAGCTTTATAGGGACCAGCAGTTGGTGTAATGGTTATGTCGCTGGACTCCCATGTACTCAACTGTGGTTCAAGTCCTGGGCCTGGTGGCTTAACACTCATGCCGGGAGCATGTGTGTGCATGCTCAAAATCTCGAGAGAATGAGGAGAAGGGATTATGGTGTGGTCATCTCCCTGGGGGGTTATTTTTCACTTTCTATCTCTCTGTCTCTGTTGTGAGCACACAGATCCTATAGTAAAAATCTCTCTTTAGGGACCAGTAGATGGTGTATTGGTTACATCCCTGGACTCCCACATAGGTAGCCACGGTTCAAGTCCTGGACGTGGCAGCTTAAAATTCACACCAGGCATGTGTGCATCCGTGCCCAAAATCCTGAGAGAAGAATGGAGGAGAGGGGATTGTGGTGAGGCCGTGCCCCCTAGGGCATGATTTCTTGCTTGTTGTCTCTCTGGCTCTCCAGTGAGCATACATGCCCTATAAAAAAAAGCTTTATAACCATTCTTTGTACAGGCTTCATGATAAGGAGTGCTGCTTACTCAGGTTTCACTAAATTTTTTTTAATTATTATTTATTTAATTTTTTTTAGAGGTTTTTACAAAAGAGCATGTGTGCTCGCCAGAAAGACAGAGGGAGACAGAGAGACAGAAAGTGAGAAACCACCCCCGCTGGTGGCTACGCCACAATCCCTTCTCCATTCTCCTCTCAGGATCTTGGACACACACACACATGCGACTGCTGTGAGTTTAAGCCACTGGATCTGAGACTCGAACTGCGGTCAACTACATGGGAGTCCAGAGATACAGTCATTACACCAACTGCTGGTCCCTCACTATATATTTTTTTAAAATCTGCTTGTACAAAGTACCTAGAATTAGGTACCTGGATATCATATCTTTACAGGTAAACTAGCAAAACAAAAGTTTCTAAATGAGAGATAGAAATCATGAATATTCAGGAGTTGGCAGAGGGCGTGGTGGTTAAGGGTGCTGGACTCCCACATGACCAGCAGTGGTTTTAGTCCTGGACCTGGCAGCTTCCTTCTCACTCTCTTTCTTTCTCTTTCTCTTTCTCTCTCTCACTCCCTCCCTTTCCTTCTATGGTCAAATTTAAATAAATAAACACAATTAAATTTTTTAAAAAAGAATTATTTAAAAAAAGAAATGATGAATATTCAGAAGCTAAAGAAGGGCAGTGGGAGCCAACAGGTGGCATGGCAGTTAAGGCGCTGGACTCCAACATGGCCAATCACAGTTCAAGTCCCACATCTGGTGGCTCTCTCTGTTTCTCTGGTGAGTGCACGTGCTCTATCACAAATTAATAATAATAATAAAAAAATAAAATAATTTAAAAAAAAAATGAAGGGCAGATGGTGCCACCTCAGTGTGACATTTTCCTGGCCTTGAGGAGTGGCAATGGGACCTCACTCTAATTCAATGACACCAATCCTAACACAGGGCCTCTTCCTCACTCTTGAAAAAGGGCAAGTCTTGGGACCAGCAGTTAGCGTAATGGCTATGTCGCTGGACTCCCACGTAGTCGACCGCGGTTGGTATCCCGGACCCAGTGGCTTAAAACTCACGCCAGGCGCGTGTGCGTGTGTGCCCAAGATCCTGAGAGGAAAAGGGATTACAGCGTGGCCATCCCCCCTGGGGGGTGATTTCTCGCTTTCTGTCTTCTGTCTTTCTCTGTCTGTCTGGCGAGCGCACGCACCCTATAGCAAAAACCTCTCAAAAAAAAAAAAAGGCAAGTCCTGAAATATTGCCCCATGCTTCTTGTCACCAAGTTGCTGGGTTCTCTCACTATAAGACCTACTAGTCAGTTATGTCTCCAATTTAAAAAGCTAGTTAGGACACAGCCTACTTTATTTTAAGTTTTATCTACTTATTCCCTGACTGAGAGAGAGATACAGCACCCCCAACAAGGTCCCCATGCCACCGTCCACCATCAGCTTCAGTCAGCCCCATCGATTATGGGCATGTGTGTGCCCAGTGTGCTCAGGGAGGTCCTACGCCTTGAACCAGGGTCCTTATCACATGCCTCTGCCACACAGAGCATTATGTTCCACATCATAGTTTACAAAGCATGGGGTGATACCATCTGATCCCAAGGACAAAGCTGACTTTAACGCAAATGTATTCCCAGGCTAAGATGAAACTTTTGAAAAAATGGACTCAGTTTTGGTGAGTAGAATACAGTGAATCAGAAGAATCAAAAAGGAGCCCATTCAGAAGTGCTACTTCCATGGGATTGGCACAAGGCTGACTACAGTTCGAGACCCCGGCCTGGCAGTTTGCTCTCTCTCTCTATCCCTCTCTGGTCAAATCGAAATCAATAAATGAATGAATAAATAAAGTCAAATAAAATATTTTTTTAAAAAAGTGCTACTTCCAGAAATCACAGAACAGTCACCACATATTCATATTGCAAACCGTATTACAGGTGGGTATTACGCAGATGTACAAAAGAGCATCTAGAAGCTACATTAGCTCTTCGCCAGTCACTTGGAAACGTTTAATAAGCTGCCAGAAGCAGTTAAGAAGAGAAAACGTAACAGACAAACTTGCTTGTGACGCATACCCAGAATATACTGGCTCTGCCAAAACAGTGCGGGTCTAAAAGACATAAGAGATAAGCAATATTCTAGTGGCCATGAAGAATAAATGAGCTGGGGTCAGCTGGTGGTGTCGTGGTTAAGGCACTGGACTCCCACATGACTGACAGCAGTTCAAGACCCGGACCTGGAGGCTTTCTCTCTCTTTCTTTCTCTTCCTGGTGAGCATTCATGCCCTATAGTAAATGTTTAAATAATAATGATAATAATAATAAATAAAACAAATAATTCCAAAACAAAAAGAGATGCACTTCCCACAGGCTTTCACAGTCCTGAAGTATGGATGTTCCTGTCCCTGCACGAGAGGCACCAGAGAGAAAGTGAGCACACATAAAAGTTTTCTGGATTGGGGGGTGTTTTTTTAGTGATTTTTGCTATAGGGTGTATGCTCGCCAGAGAAACAGAGAGAAAGAAAGCAAACAATCATCTCTCAAGGGGGAATGGCCACACCGCAATCCCTTCTCCATTCTCCTCTCAGGATTTTGGGCATGCACGCACACACACATGCCTGATGTGAGCTTCCCTTCAACCCCCAAAGAATTACTTATTTATTTCATTCCATTTGTTACTATTATTTTTTAATTTGACCAGACAGAGAGAGAGAAAGAGAAAGCAAAAAACAAAGCCACTAGGTCTGGGATTCGAACCATCGTTGGCCATGTGGTAATCCAGCGCCCTTATCCACCACACCAACAGCTGGCTCTGCCTGACGTCAGTATTAAGCTGCAGATCCAGGACTCAACCGCGGTAGGCTATGTGACAGTGCTCTGACACAGTGCAGTGATGAAACCATTACACCATCTGCTAGTCCCACAGGTAAAGTTTTGAGCCCACTGTTAAGAGTCAGCTGTGAAATGGAACCCACAGGCAATCCTTTGTCATACAAATAACAATCTTCACTCAGTTTTTGAAAGCTGACATTTACATGTTGAAAGATACCTTTAAAGGCAAAGTATAGCTTTAAGACTTATAAAATCTTACTCATTCTCCAATAAAATATCTCAATGCAGATATGTTGATGCTATAAAAGTATACGTCCAAAGAAATCACAATTAGAACCTTACAGGGTGGCTGAGAACTTAGGCATTTTAACAGGTACACTGAATAAAACATTTAGGCACAGCAAGCTCTGAATATTCCTTCCAGTAGCCTTTAGTTTCACCTTATAGAAATAATATGCATTAATATCCAAAAGCAATTTGGAAGTAAAAATACGTGCTGACCCCAATCCTTGCAACTGTATGCCAACAAATATTTGTAGGTGACAACAGAAGCTTTTCCTATAATTAATAACACAGAGGTTGTCAAACATACATGATTGCTGCTTCCCATGTATGTAAGTGGAGCTAGACAAACAGCAACATTTTCCAAACTCAAAAACACCAAGAGGGGACCAGCAGATGGCGTAATGATTACTTTGCTGGACTCCCACATAGTCACTCACGGATCAAATCCTGGACCCAGCAGCTTAAAACATGCCAGGCATGGGACCAGCAGTTAGTGTAATGGCTATGTCGCTGGACTCCCATGTAGTCGACCATGGTTCGCGTCCCAGACCCGGTGGCTTAAACTCACACCGGGCACATGTGCGTGCGTGCCCAAGATCCCTAGAGGAGAATGGAGGAGAAGGGATTGCGGCATGGCCATCCCCCCTGGGGGGTTGATTTCTCACTTTCTATCTCTCTGTCTCTCTCTGTCTGTCTGGGGAGCGCAAGCGCCCTATAGCAAAAACCTCTCCGAAAAAAGAAAAAAAAAAAAAAAACATGCCAGGCACGTGTGCGTGCATGCCCCAAATCCTAAGAGGAGAACAGAGAAGGAACGGTGGTACATTCATCCCCTCTCGGGGGTGATTTCTCACTTTTTGTCTCTCTGGAGAACGCATGTGCCCTATAGCAAAAATCTCTTTAAAAAAAAAAAATAATAACATAACACCAAGAGAAGTTTGCAAACAGGGCTGGGCTTCAGTTTAACCTGCAGCCAACTCATCATGTGCCCTATACAGAAAAATAAAAAAAAACAAACAAACAAACAAACAAACAATACTTCCCACATTATATGGGCATCCCTGTTTTCAAAATGGAAATGGCTATTGCCATTATGACATTAATAAGAAAATTAGGGCAGCCATAAAAATCAGGTTTATGGGAACCAGCAGTTAGCGTAATGGCTATGTCGCTGGACTCCCACGTAGTCGACCACGGTTCGCGTCCCAGACCCAATGGCTTAAAACCCACGCCAGGCGCGTGTGCGTACGTGCCCAAGATCCCGAGAGGAGAACAGAGGAGAAGGGATTGCGGCATGGCCATCCCCTCTGGGGGGTGATTTCTCGCTTTCTGTCTCTCTGTCTCTCTCTGTCTGGCTGGCAAGCACATGCGCCCTATAGTGAAAAACCTCTCAAAAAAAAAAAGAAAAAAAGAAAAAAAAATCAGGTTTATTACACAAACCTAGAAGTGACTCAGGGTTCATTTCTGATCCATTATACAACTGCATTAAAGCACTGAGCACTCACAGCTAGGGCCTTCCACCCGTCATTTATAATCCTCAGTCGGCCGGCCAATAACTCAGGAGGCAGATGAACCATGAGATTTCAAATGGACTGACCTGAACTCTCCTGTTTAAAGGAGACAGGCCAGATTTGCCATTCAAATTGCAAGTGATTGATCCTTTCCTTCAGCTCTCGGACTCCCGCGTTATGTGTCGCCAGGGCCACGCTCCCCCTCCTGTTGTCAGAGAGGCCCTTACCTGTGGTGGAGCAGCTGTACTGTGGGTACTGCGTGAAAGCAATCGCCCTTTCTAGCCCATCTCTCTCCATCTCGGCAATGGCTTCTTCTGTTAAAGGGTGGACGTACCGGAATCCAATATAGTATTTGTGAGGGGCTATTAGGAAGCACACGTAGAGAGGAGAAAGTATTAATCTTTGTATAGATTCCTCAGAGTCACCAAGCATAACACAAAGCCCAGAACAAAGAGCAGTTAACCTAATTTCCTGCGCTGCTGATGGTGTGGGCAAGTTTAGGATATCCCTATGACTTCGGCCACCCTTCAGCTCATATGTGGATTTTTTTAACCACAGTTTTCTGGGATCAACATCCCCACCCATGCACCTTTACTTAGCATGATGGTTTGAATTTTTTTTTTAAAGATTTAATTGTATATATTATTTCAATTTTCTATAGGGCACATGCACTCACCAGAGAGAGAGAGAAAGTGAGAAAGCAAGCCGCCCGATCCACAACTTGAACTGCAGTCAGGCACACGGGAGTCCAGCACCCCACGCACCATACCACCTGCTGGTCCCAACATGATGGTTTCTGTTTCTTTTCTTTTTTTCAGGCTTTTGCTATAGGGCACTTGCACTCACCAGAGAGAGAGGAAGAAAGTGAGCCCCAGGGGTGATGGCCACACCACAATCCCTTCTTTTCCATTTTCCTCTCGAGACTCCAGGCATGCACACACATGCGTCCGACATTATTTTCAAGCTATCAGTTCTGCGACTCAAACTGTGGTAGGCCATGTGGGAGTCCAGCACTTTAACCACTAGGCCACCTGTGGGTCCCTCCAAGTTTCTGTTTCTAATTCTCTGTCCTTGACTAAGACAGGAAAGATGCACGAGAAGAGAGGGAAAACGAACACTCATTCCTAAAGTGTAACTTCTCCTGTTCTAGACACCATGGCAGACACTTTGCATTGGTTTGTTTTCTCATTCTAACCTCAATTTTCAGGTAAGGAAACAGAGTCTGAAGGTTAATTGAGCTGCTCAAAGTCACATCTAGGAGGTAAGTCAGTAGAGCTGGAATTAGACCCTGGGTCCTCTACCCTAATGTCCATGCTCCTTCTACACCCCCAGGCTGCTCCTGTCACCCAGTTCTGTCAGGCTCCAGGTCACCTAGTATAAATAATCCAGTGCAAAAGCTCTGGGAGATGTGATTGATGTTCACTGAGAGCAAATGATTCTCCTCATTTAATAAACACACACACAGTATCCCCAATCCAGAAACCCCAAATCCAAAGTGCTCCAAAAACCTGGAAGTTTCTGAGCACTGACATGAAATCACAGGTAGAAAAGTCCACACCTGACCTCACACGACAGGGAGTGTATTTTAAACTACCGTATAAAATTATAGCCCAACAGCGTGGCACATGCTGCGACGATGCCAAGCTCAAAGTCTGGGATGGAAATGGACCACCTGGGTTCAATTCCAGTCCAAACCAAAGGCCAGGTGCAGTGGCAGGCATGCACCTGTAATCCCAGCTGAAACAGCAGGCTGAAACAGAAGGGTCGTGAGCTCAAGGCTGACCTGGGCATCATAGCAAGGATCTGTCTGAAACAGAGCTAGGCAGGTGGCGCATGCCAGTGATTCCAGCTGGAAGGCTGAGGCAGGAGGACAGTGATATGACAAGATCAAAAAAAAAAAAATTACCTTCATATTACCTTGTGTATAAGGTCCACATGAAATAGAAATGAACTCCACACTCAGACCTGGGTCCTATGCCCAAGATATCTTATTCCATATATACCAATACGGTCAGGTGTCATATAATGATGACTTGGCCAAGGATGAACTGTACACGGGGGCTTAAAAACTTTATGGGAAGACAGAATTATAGTAGCACTTTAGGACCAGCTTGTGGCCTGGCAGTTAAGGCCACTAGATCCCATATGGCCCACCTTAGTTAGGACTCAGTGGCCTGAGACACACACCAGGTGCATGTGCGTACCTAAAATCCCAAAGGAGAGAGAGGTGGAGGAAAGGGGACTGCAGCATGGTCAACACACCACAGGGGGTGCTTTCTGGTTCCCCCCAACTCCCTTGGTGAGTGCATATGACCTCTGGTAAAAAGAAAAAATTTTAAAAGTATGTATAAGTTTATTTTGAGGCCAAAGTTTCTGAAATCCATGCATAGTTTTTTCATAAGGTTCTGACAAACATATTGAAGATCTTCCATCTACAACGGTGCAGTGATAGGCTCTCCTATCCAGCCCAGCTGTGCTGCAGGCCATACACATAGATTTGTGCTGTCTACATGATAAAATCGCCTAACAGTGCATTTCTCAGAACACAGCCCCATCATTAGGCAACGCGTGACTACATTCCAAAATCTGAAAAAGTTTGAAAGCTGAGATACTTCTGGTCCCAAGCATTGCAGATAAAGGATACTGGACCTGTGTACGTGCATGTGTGTGTGTGTGCATGTGTGTGTGTGTGTGTGTGTGTAAAACAATGCTTAAATTGGAGGCACCAAGTAATGGCCCCGGTCTGATGCATATCTTTCCGTTTCTTCCCCTTGTCACTCCACCAGTTCCCTCGTCTATCTTCTCCTTTATCTTCCTGTATTTCTTTCCTGTGTTTTAAACCATCTGCATCATGCAATTCCTTGCACATTTTTAGAACAATAAAACTGAAAGTTTCCTGGTCTTGTTTCCTTGCCTTTTCATAGGATTGCACATAACTTATACTCAGGGATGATACTGAGGATACACTACATAAATGCCAAGTCAGAATAAAACTAAGGGGACCAGCAGGTGGCGTGGTGGTTAAGGCGCTGGACACTCCCACATGGCCGACTGCGGTTTGAGTCCAGGACCTGGTGGCTTGCTTTCTCACTTTCTCTCTCTCTCTAACTCTTTCTGTGTCTTTCTCTGGTCAAATTAAAATTCTGGACATTGAAAGATGAGAAAGGTCACTGGGAAAATTGATACATCTATTGAATACATTTGCAAACAGACTTTCTGGGTTGTGGTGTTAAATTTGAGGTGATTAGAACTGTAGTCTGCTATTATGGTTCTGTTTGAAAAGCCATGCTTAAATAAAATTTGTATTCTTTGTTTAGTCCAAGAATTAGTACATAATGCAATTATAGCTCAAATCTTCCCAAATACAAAATAAAATTATTTTTATATTTGTAAGGTTTAACTTCTTTAAGACCATCTGAAACAATACACTTATTTTATATGTATATTTGTGTGTGTGTGTGTGTGTGTGTGTGTGTGTGTGTAAAACAATGCTTAAATTGGAGGCACCAAGTAATGGCCCCGGTCTGATGCATCTTTCCGTTTCTTCCCCTTGTCACTCCACCAGTTCCCTCGTCTATCTTCTCCTTTATCTTCCTGTATTTCTTTCCTGTGTTTTAAACCATCTGCATCATGCAATTCCTTGCACATTTTTAGAACAATAAAACTGAAAGTTTCCTGGTCTTGTTTCCTTGCCTTTTCATAGGATTGCACATAACTTATACTCAGGGATGATACTGAGGATACACTACATAAATGCCAAGTCAGAATAAAACTAAGGGGACCAGCAGGTGGCGTGGTGGTTAAGGCGCTGGACACTCCCACATGGCCGACTGCGGTTTGAGTCCAGGACCTGGTGGCTTGCTTTCTCACTTTCTCTCTCTCTCTAACTCTTTCTGTGTCTTTCTCTGGTCAAATTAAAATAAATGAATGAATAAACAAAATTAAAATAAATGATTCTTAAAAAAAAAAAAGAATAAAACCAAGATGATGTTACCGTCCAAAGCATTGGCAGGGGTGACAACTAAGAACACAGCATGAGGAGCCAGTGGGTGGCCTGGTGGTTGAGGTGCTGGACTCCTACATGGTCGATTACAGTTTGAGTTCTGGACCTGGTGACCTGCTTTCTCACTTTCCCTCTTTCGCTGTCTCTCTCTGCATGTGCCCTGCAGCAAATTAAAAAATAATAATAATGATGCTCAATAAAATTTTTAAAAAAAGAACATGACATGAAATTGGCACAAGAAACAGGTGAAAGTGAACGCACAGACAGGGAGTATACCATATATGTACAAGGAGGTATCCGTGGATGATATTCCTAACTTGATCCAGGAGCTATGAACTAACAGAGCATGTAACAAAGACAGAAAGAGCATGTCCTTAGGTGACAGAGGCATGTGTGTGCATGGGAGGATGGCCCGACTCAGGACTCTGGCTGGGGACTGCAAAAAGAGGAAGAAAGAGCCATAAACAGATCATTTTCTCTCCTGCCCTTCTGGACTACACATTTATGCTCTCGTCTACAAAAGACGGTGGCCCGCAGTTAAAACACAGTAGAGGATAAGACCTTCCGAGCAAACTCCAAATGACTGACTGTCCAAAGATTATGTGCTACATAGTAAACCCGCCAACCATCACAATACCATCAAGTCCATGTTTAACCAGCGCTTGCTATCTAAGCCGAGGTTCAGCAAGCAAGCACAAATTGCTTTCTAATCTATTGTGAGACAATAGATTATCAGACTGACACAGTAAGATCTCCCACAGCAGCAGGTCAAAGATCTTCTCACATTTTCTTTTCACCTGTCCAGTATTGGAAAGTTGTAGTCAGAAGGCAGGACATTTGGGAGTTCCTAAATAAGAGAGCTGAAAGAAGTGAAGAGGCTGCCCTTGTAGATAGAGGTAGGGTGGGTAACCACATCTTAAAGTGAGAGAGATAAAGTGCTCTGAAAAGAATAGATAATGCTTTCTAAAGACGCCTGCAAAGGAGGATTTAGAAAAAGTAGAAATGCACTTTTTGACTGGGTTATCCTGAGAAACCAACAAGCAATGTTCACAAAGGATCTCATCTATCAGGGTAGGTTTCCACTGGGGCTGGCTGCTCCCGGAAGGGGAAAAAAGCCACTCCAATGTAAACACGCCCCACATTGGCCAGAGCGAGACCAAGACACGCAACTCCCTGGCCGAGCCTAGCTACCCTCAGAGTGGCTGGCACTGAAC